ATAAATACAACACTCAGAAAACAGGGGAATTCCAGACAGGAAATAATCAGGGCCAGCTAACACATTCCAACAAAGGATTCCCCCAGGCAGGAAGCAGCCAGGCTTTGCAGCTGCAAGACCATTCTATACTAATAAAGGTGACCAATTGCCACATTCACACCTGCCTCAATTAGACAAGCATGCTTTCTCCCACCCTGGAGAATCCACAGATATATAAACCTCACTTGCCTAGTTTCCAACAGACCTCACAACCTCTGAGGGCACCTGCCATAGATGTGGGCAAAACATCAGGAGAGAATGCTTTTGGACCATTACCAGATAGCCCGAAAAACACACAGCAACCTATCATATCCATAGCTTGACATTATGTTGATAATCCATAAATATACAAATCCCCAAATGCCCAAACCTTCTAAATATTATACTGCTGTGAAAAAAGTGGCAAAGGAGATCAGTTACTGAAAGCCGAGAAAGCCGTTTTATATGAGATTGGAGTATGTGTCTGTACAGTCCAATATTGTTCACTTTTAACAACAGCAGCTAAATGTTTTCAATTTATTCATAACCTTGAAGTTCCCATGTGGGAAACTAGGAGGAGTGCCTTCATGCAAAGCCACGTGCGCTGCCATCAAGACTGAGGGCCTCTGCTGGAAGAGAAAGAGGGAGGAACAACTGTCGTCATCCCCCAAATGCCAAGATTTTTGCATGCCAGTATTTCACAACTCAAATATGAAACTAGAAGAATGACTTGGACCTTTTAAGGATCTGCTATTTGAAGTGGAGATTTCTGTTTATACTTGAATAATGCTTGACTTTTGTAGCGGTCATGGTGGTGCAGCAGGCTAAACCACTAAGCTGCACAACTTGCTGACCGGAAGGTCGGCAGTTCGAATCTGCAGAATGGGATGAGTTCCCGTTGCCAGCCCTAGCTTCTGCCAACCTAGCAGTTCAGAAACACGCAAATGTGAGTAGATCAATAGGTACCGCTTCGGCAGGAAGGTAGCAGCACTCCCTGCAGTCATGCTGGCCACATGACCTTGGAAGTGTCTGAACAGCACCGGCTCTTCAGCTTAGAAATAGAGATGAGCATCACCCCCCGCAATTGGACTCGACTAGACTTAATGTTAAGGGTTACTGTGCAGTTGGAACTTCCCATTTGGAGGTTTTACTGTCATGGATTTTCTTATCTGATTCAATTAATATATTCTCTTCAGGGTTCTCTAGCAGAAGTGTACCAGAACATCACACTGGAAGACCTCTAGGTATTTGTATATGTTCCCATGCCATTCTAGGTTGCACTGGAGCACCTAGTACATGTGTCAAATGCAGGCTGAATCATTCTCCAAGCACTTATTTGACGTTTTGGTGCAATCCTCTTCTGCTTATTGCCTAAATATATGTATAATTTCCCACTCCCCTATAACTTTTTGGAGATCATCTTTATACATAAATGAAGCTGCCATTTTTCTTTTGGCTAGAGATATGAAATATCTGACTGCCAGATGTTGTCAACTTCTGTGTTGTCCAAGGTTTTCGTGGTCAGAATCACTGGGCTGCTGTGAGTTTTACGAGCTGTATGGCCATGTTCTAGAAGCATTCTCTCCTGATGTTTTGCCCGCCTCTATGGCAAGCGTCGTCAGAGGTTGTGAGGTCTGTTGGAAACTAGGCAAGTGAGGTTTATATATCTGTGGATTGTCCAGGGTGGGCAAAAGAACTCTTGAATGCTTGAGGCAAGTATGAATGTTGAAATTGTCCACCTTGATTAGCATTGAATAGCCTTGCAGCTTCAAAGCCTGACTGGTTCCTGCCTGGGGAATCCTTTGTTGGGAGGTGTTAGCTGGCCCTGATTGTTTTGTGTCTGGAATTCCCCATTTTTCTGAGTGTTTTTTTTATTTACTGTCCTGATTTTAAAGTTTTTTTTAAAAAAATACTGATAGCCAGATTTTGTTCATTTTCACGGTTTCCTCCTTTCTGTTGAAATTATCCACATGCTTGTGGATTTCAGTAGCTTCTCTGCAAAGTCTGACATGGTGGTTGTTAAAGTGGTCCAGCATTTCTGTGTGCTCAAATCATATGCCGTGTCCAGGTAAGTTCTGTCTGCTTTGATCCAGTATGACCAGTGACCAGGCATGATGGGAGCTAGAGTTCGATACCATCTTCTCTGCTTTAAAGTGCAGTGTAGTTGTGAAGGGAATGATCCAGGAACTCTTTCAATCATTTTTCACCTTCATCATGAACTCCATTCAGAAACCAGACTGTATGTTTTTGCTATAGAGAAATCTATATAAATAAAAATGTAATGTTCGTTTGTGGGATTAACATAACTCAAAAACCACTGGGTGAATTGACACCAAATGTGGACACAATATACCTATCAGGCCAACGAGTGACCATCACTCATAAAAAACACTGAAAAACACAGCAGAAGAGACTTTAAAAGCCAAAAAATAAAAATTTCATTACAATGTATGCGCAAAACCACACACATATATACACATACACAAATATATACACAGACAGGGCCACAGCAACATGTGGCAGGGGATGGCTAGTGTACTATAAATGACTATGTTTTTCTCTTCTGTGGGAAGTCAAATTTCTCTCTATTAACATTAGTTTTGCACAGCAGCTGTTCTAGTTATGATTCTTTCGGGGATGTATCAGGAGGGCTGTTTACATTTTTACAATATTTCAAAGTCTTCTATATTCATTCATTCACTGAAATGTTTGTGCATTAACATGCTTAAAAAACAGATTATTATAATATGGAAAATGTGTCATGGATGGAGAGGAGATAGTTTTAGAGAATGGCAGTCCAGGGGTTAAAGCTGTGCACAGTTGACTTTTGTTTCAAAACAGCAGGAATTGTTTTATTTGTTTTGTGAATATAGTTGTAACAGGAAAACTCTTCTGTCCATATTGTAGTGAATGAACATCCCACAGGGATTGCACAACTCTGGAAGTTTCATGTCAGTGTCACTTTAGTTCCATATTTGTAATATATAAATAGCTATATTGGGCCATTGTAATGATTGCTATCGTTTATATGGAATTCTTTGAATTGTTAAGGACGTTGCCATATAAACATTGGCCTTATCTATGTTTCTTTCTAAAGATCTGTCCCATCCTTAATGAAAAACTGTGATTGCATAATTTAAAAAGTGAAAAACTATCCTCCAAATATTTATTTATTTAGATTTCTTTTTTAAAAAAATGGTCTTCAGCCAGAAAGGCTCCCAGAACAGGTCACAAATTGTTAGTTTGACAGTTCTGTGCCCTCAGACTTACACGCTAAATAAGACATGAAAGAAATGATCAAGAGGGAGGCAATTAAGTCCAGCAGATCCTGCCAATTCTTCTCTTCCTCTGCAGCCCATTGGGATTAAGAAAGGGCCTTTCATTTGCTTCTGGGCCAAGGTTTGATGGAGCTCTGCTTCTCTTCTTCCAAAGCCAAGGCAGGGACAGTTTGAATTGAAGGAGGGACCGTCAAATGATAAATAATTAGCAGAATAACAAAAACCAGTATTAAGATGACGTTCAACTCTATGACTCCATTCCACCTGCTGTTAAGGAGGCTGTTCAGGTCCTGAACTGGTGCTTGGCAGCTGTGACGGTCAGGATAAGGGCAAGACAGAGGTACGAAAGGTCAGTCGAAAGGCAGAACAGGGCATAGGGTTACAGCCTGTGCTGGACAGGGTTACACTCCCTCAAAGTCACAGGTTTTTATATTGGAAGTCCTCCTGGACTCATCACTGAGTCAGGTCTTGGCAGTGGCTAGGGAAGCTTTTGGAGAATTAAAACTTGTGCGCCAGTTGCGCCTGTACCTTGGAAAGTAAGACTTGGCCATGATAGTCCAGACTACTGCAATACATGGGGTTGCCTTTGAAGACTGTTTGGAAGCTTCAAGTAGTCTAACTGGCAGAAGCCAGGTTGCTCACTGGAGTGGCATACAGGTAGCACACAACCCCCCCCCCCCATTGTGCCAGATCCATTGGCTGCCCATCTGCTACCGAGCACATTTCAAAGTGCTAGCTTTAGCCTATAAAACCCTAAACTGTTCTGATCCAGCTTATCTGTTCACATGTATCTCCTCCTATGAACAATCTCAAAGATTAAGATCATCTGGGGAGGCCTTGCTCTCGGCCCCACCTCCTACGCAGGTGCGTGTGGCGGTGACGAGGGACAGGGCCTTCTCAGTGATGGCTATGGAACTCCCTCCCCAGTTATTATTATTATTTTATATCAAAAGCATTGCATAAATTAGTATAAAACTGATAAAAATAGAAGGAGCACAGGTGAGGAGCACACCCTCCCCAGTGAAATCAAATTAGCCCCCTCTCTCCTGACCTTTTGAAAGAAATTAAAGACCTGACTCTGGGACCAAGACTTTGGGTACAAATGCAGTGCAAGAAGAGGAAATATGTGCAATCATGACTGGAACAGACTTGACTATGATTATGAATTTTGTGGTTTTTAATCATTGTTTTTATTGTTATATGGTGTTAAATTTAATGTTTATAATGTGTGTGTTTATTTTATTATTTGTTGTTTGATACGGCATCAAATCGTTGCCTACTCTAAAGCCGCCTAAGTCCCCTTCGGGGTGAGAAGGGCAGGATAAGTAAATTGCGGTAAATAAATAAGTAAACAAATAAAACAACAAATTAATTGCACATTATGAACCTGGGAAGATAAAAAGGGGTCTTTGCTTGGAATCAAAAGAAAGTAAAGGTGAGCACCAGGCAAGCTTCTTTCTAGTTAATAGTTAATTCAGATCTTGTTGTAGATGCTGCTTTGGGAAAAACCATTCCTGTTTATGATTGATGAAGCAAGATTTGGCTTGGAATATTTGGGAAGTAAATTGTTCAAACGAATAGTAAAATTCAAATACTTGGTCTGTATAAGTTTGTATTATATATCATGTACTGTGTTTCTGGTTAGTTATCTGAAAGTCAATGTCTACTAATAGACAATTTTTTGAAAAATCTTTTATTGAACAGATATATTCTAACCATGGCGGAAGCTCATCAAGCAGTGGCGTTTCAGTTTACTGTAACCCCAGATGGAATAGACCTTCGCATGAGCCATGAGGCCCTCAGGCAGATCTACCTGTCTGGTCTATACTCATGGAAGAAGAAGTTCATCAGATTCAAGGTAATTTATTTTGCAGGTCCCAGGCTGTGCTCAGGATAAAGTTACACGTTATTCTAATAATAATAATAATTATTATTATTATTATTATTATTATTATTATTATTATTATTACCTGCCTCTTTCCCTGAAGGGACTCAGGGTGGTTCTAGAAATTCAAGGTTCTGAACAGCTATATTTACAGCATAACACTGGTGGGGAGGTGCTTAATCCTTCTCCCACCTGCCCATTTTTCCACACCATGCTTTCAAGTTTTTTTCTTGTTCTTCCTAGTCAGATTTAGTAAACAACAAGTAAGCAGTTATGGGGAAAATGACAGAGAGCAAAGGAAGAGTTAGATAGCCCATTTGCTATTTTTTTCCCTTTCAAGTATATTTTCACTTATTTATTTCAGTCCCACTTGTTTTCCCCGGACACATAATAAAGAAATAAAATTAAAACAAATTAATTAAAATGATTGCAAAATAGTTTCAGATTAGCCAGCCCTCCACATTCATCCGGGTTAGGGGCACAGGGCCCTGTGAAAGTGAAGTACTGCAAATATATACATTGCTTTTTATGGGAAGAAACACTTCTGTTGAAATTTCTAGATCTTCTGCGATGCCTCTTTGGTCAGCCTCATGGAAGCTGATCATGGAATCACATTGGAGGACCTAGAGATTCCTAGAGAGAACATTTTCAATCCAATGCACCAATTGTCAAATCTTCTACAGTCAAAACTGTGGAAGGACAACTGTACTTAAAAATAATGCAAGATGACACTATCCAATGATCAAAAGCCCTTTTTATTGCACTCCTGCCTGTCTGCTAAATATTAAATACTTTTAGAATAAATGAAGGTGGCAGAGCAACAGTCTTGTCCTTCCCAGGAAAAAAAATGTTCTGCAGTCTGGGAGAAGCCACAGAGGAATCCCCTTTTTGCCACTGAGTAACAAGGAAAAAAGGGGGCTTTTCCCTAAGTTTCCCAAAGCCCAGGCAGAGTCAGACAAGAGTACAGTCTTTCAGTTGATTAACAGACAAGTATCTTATCTACCGGTGTATGTGACACATAACTAGCACTCCTGGTTGTGCATAAAAGCAAACTTTTAGCCAGAGAACTGCTGTAAAAGAAATCACATGTTCACTATAATCTACTCTGATTTAGCTACAGAATTTTGCACTAGTTTATGCTTTGTAAGACTTTTCCAAATAGTCCATATAGAGCACATTACAGTAATCGAGTTGGGCTATAACTATGGCATAAGAGTGCCTCTCTGTGGCTCCTCTCAGACTGTAGAAGTCCAGTCCCAAGGAGACAGGGATAGCTACCTTCCTTCCTGGCCTTTCATCATCTGATGAAATCTTCCTGTTGCAGCAGGTGTTTAGAAACAGATTCTGCACATGTTATGGGTATTGAACTCCCCAGAAAGGGGATTTTAAATGGTTTAAATGGATTTATTTATTTATTTATGACATTTATATCCTGCCCTTCTCACCCCGAAGGGGACTCAGGGCGGCTTACATAAGTTGCATTATTCCATGCCCAAAACAACAAGTAGATTTACAAGTAGTTTAATACAGTTTTAAACCTTTTTTGCGATGCTTTAGCTACACATGGCTTTATTTGTTTATTTGGGGTTTTTTGCAAACTGTAAACCACATTGAGTCCCAGTCTTAAGAAAGAGGCAAGGTATAAATTAATCTATCGATACACCCACACATGATCAGACAGCTTTAGGAATGATTGTACTTGACAGACATCTGGAAGTTTGTCATTGTGGGAGAAACTGAATCAGCCTTCTTCTGATACACACATTTGTTGGAAGGGTTTACAACTGTACAGCCTTTCAGCTCCCCAAACACCTTTCTGCAATGTTAAGACCATCAGATTTCCATAGTTTTGATTAGTCTCCAAGTCTGTTTAAGAAATCCTTTTGTTTATCCACATAGCTCATTGGCTACTTAGATGTAATGGTGATCTGTAACGAAGATTAATGTCACAACTTAGTCTGCATACGTATGGCTGTGTCTTCTCATATCCTGGGTTAGTTACTAACACAAGTGCTCTGGAAAATGCAAAGCAATAGCCTCAGAATCCAGAAAATTAATTATTGATGTCTTATTCTTTCAGAATGGCATAATCACAGGAGTCTATCCTGCAAGCCCATCCAGTTGGTTGATTGTAGTAGTAGGAGTTATGTCAACAATGTATGCCAAAATAGATCCTTCATTAGGATTGATAGCTAAAATCAACCGGACCCTTGACGTAACGTAAGTAAACAGTGTCCCTCTTTCTTATTGATCAGATGCGTTTGGGTGATAAATTCCATCTCTTCTCATTGGTTCAGAATAAGCTGAGCTATTTAAACTGGCATATTTTCTTTAATGTTAACATGCAGAGCAGTTAATAATTGTATAGTTTGGGTGGGGGGACATATAATTTGGATTCAGGTTTTTCATCCTGCAGGTAAACTGCCATCCTTATCAATGTTGTTGCTATCTTTTATTTGTAGTTTTAAAGATTTTTATCAATGTTGTTTAATTTGTTTGATCACTGCCTTGAGTTTTTCTGTCAAAGGCCATAGATGGGACATAAGCTTTTAGAATGACCATCTGATGGAAATAACATAAACTTAACTTTGGCTAGTTTGAATAAGTTTGAAGTTATTTGACATTAGTTTGAAGTTATTTGAAATCTTCAGTAAAATATGCACAAAGTTAAGTTGCTTATCTATAGGGGTGCATTTCACCTCTCTCTTGATACAGGAAGTCTAATTAGGGAACATTAGGGGCGGAATGGTTCAAATGGAGTTGCACAGAAAGGAGAGCTTTCGGTGATGGATGATATTATCTTTGCTCTCTTCCTTTCTTCAGCTCTCATCTTTTTTTTCTCTTATTTTTAAATGCTACCTCCATTAAGTGAATGACTTACGATTGCTATGTAGTGCTAAAAATGTCTTTTCAATGTCATGTCAAGTTTTGTCAACACAGTTTGAGAAGAGACAGTAAGAAAGCTTCACATGATACTTAGTCCTAATCTTTTTTATACTGGTTTTAAACCACTTCATTGGATGTGTTGCAATAGCAGATTCCCAGATTAGTTTAGTGTTTACACCTTATGTTATATATTTTTTGGTTATTTAATATTTAATGTTTATTTTACTTAAGTGATATTTGTCTTTACTCTTCTAATGTAGCACAAATTCTATGTAAAATCATACTACGTATTTTTGACATTAATATTGAAATTTGAAATATATACAGAAAGTTTTTACAGTGATGGGTGCATGACCTCCCACTGTATGCTCCTTTTACATTGCACAGTTGTAACACTTTGATTCCATTTTAATTGCTATGTCTACAACCTGTGAAATGCTGTGATTTATAGTTTGATGACAAAATAAAATTCTGTGTTTGAAAATTCTCTATGTACTCCCTCCCTAAACTGCAACGCCCAGATTTCTGTGGGATAAAAACATGGCAGTTAAGATGGAGTCATAGTGCAATAACCGTGTAGTGCGTTAACTGAGTCCCTCTGCGGAGGTTGCGAAAGGACGGGATATAAAAGCCCTAAATAAATAATAAATAATAGTGTGTAAAGGCCCCTTTATTCCAGTCACCATGGCTATAGTAATTGCTTTTGAAATTTTATTAAAAGGGAGCAGAGAGACAGGGTAATAATTGCACTGGTAACCATTTGAGTGGTTTGTGTGTATCCYCCCCCCCCCCCCCCGCTCCCAAATATGCCACCTGCTAATGGTTTGTTGAAGTGGTGCTTCAGTTCAGACCTCGTCATATGCCCAGATTGGCTTTATTTACACTGGCTTTTTTAGTAATACGTTTTGCTGTTTTAGCTATTGTCGGAATTGTTTGATAGATGTTTTTTCTTCCAACAGGGGCTATATGTCCAACCAAACACAGAATATTGTCAGTGGGGTTCTTTTTGGAACAGGGCTCTGGGTTGCCCTTATTTTCTCAATGCGCTACACACTAAAGATGCTGCTTTCCTACCATGGCTGGATGTTTGCTGAACACGGCAAACTTTCTACAGGAACCAAGATATGGATGGTAAGTGTTAGTTATTATAAACTAGAACATGGAGTTGGGTAATCTTTACCTGAGTTAGGCTAGATTCCTATGAATGTGTTGTTTTTGGGGTTACACTTTGTGTAGTGATGAAACCAGGCAAAACCTGCCAGCTGCTATTTTAATTGTACTGGTATATTTATTAGTTTATTAAATGTTTTAAGTAGTTTTAACATTGTTCAAAGTTTATTTCCATTTTAATATTGATCCTTTGTATGTTACTAGCTACATTGTACCCCCGGGGGTGCAATGGGCTAAACCTTTGTGCCAGCAGGACTGGTCGACCAACAGGTTGACAGTTTGAATCCGGGGAAACTCCCGTCTGTTAATCTCTAACTTCTCATGTGGGGACATGAGAGAAGCCTCCCACAGGATGGCAACGTCCTTGCAGACAGCCAATTCTCTCATACCAGGTGGTGCTGTTGAACGCCAGATCTGTCAACGGAAAAATGACCTTTATCCAGGATCTAATCCGGGATGAGCGGGCAGATCTGGCGTGCATCACGGAGACCTGGTTGGATGAAGCTGGAGGGGTGAACCTAACCCAGCTTTGTCCTCCAGGCTTCTCCGTGCAGCACCAACCAAGATCCGGAGGGCGGGGAGGCGGGGTCGCAGTGGTCTATAGAGATTCCATCCATCTGACCAGGAGTCCCATCCCGCAGACCACAAATTTTGAATGCGTCCACCTGAGGGTGGGTGACCGGGACAGAATAGGGATTCTGTTAGTGTACCGTCCACCTCGCTGCACTACAGTCTCCCTACCTGAGCTAGCGGGGGTAGTCTCGAGCCTGGCGTTGGAGTCTCAACGGCTTCTTGTGCTGGGAGACTTCAATATCCATGCCGAGGCGACCCTCACAGGAGCGGCTCAGGACTTCATGTCTGCCATGGCAACCATGGGGCTGTCCCAACAAATATCTGGCCCCACCCACTGTGCTGGACATACATTGGACTTGGTTTTCTGCCAGGGATGGGAGCAGGGTGGCGGTGTGGAGGAGTTGTCCATCTCTCCATTGCCATGGACTGACCACTTCCTGATCAGATTTAGGCTCACTGCGCCCCCTAACCTCTGCAAAGGTGGAGGACCCATTAAGATGGTCCGCCCCAGGAGGCTTATGGATCCGAATGGATTCCTGACGGCTCTTGGGGATTTTCCCGCCACCTCGGTAGGTGACCATGTCGAGGCCCTGGTCGCTCTCTGGAATGGCGAGATGACCAGGGCAATTGACAGGATCGCTCCCGGAACGTCCCCTCTCAAGTAGCCGAGCTAAACCAGCTCCTTGGTTTACTGAGGAGCTGGCAGTGATGAAGCGAAGGAAGAGGGAACTAGAGAGCGTGTGGCGTTCGGATCCGAGCGAGGCAAATCGAACACGGTTTGTGTCCTTTTTAAGGGCATATGCCGCGGCAATAAAAGCCGCAAAGAAAACTTTCTTTGCGGCCACTATTGCGTCTGCAAGGAACCGTCCGGCGGAGTTGTTCCGAATTGTCAGAGGTCTTTTAACTCCCACCACCTCAGGCGGGAGCCCTGACAATTCGGCCACGCGCTGCGAAGCATTTGCTCGGTTCTTTGCAGACAAAGTCGCTTTGATCCGTTCTGGTCTGGACACCATGTTAAATGCAGTCTCTGAGGATGTGACACGAGCACCTGCTTGTCCTATTTTGATGGATTCTTTTCAATTTGTGAAGCCCGAGGATGTGGACAAGATACTTGGAGGAATGAGGCCCACCATGTCCATCCTAGACCCCTGCCCATCCTGGCTTCTGAAGGAGGCCAGAGGGGGATTGGCTGAGTGGGTAACGGTGGTGGTTAATGCCTCCCTTGGGAAGGCAAGATTCCAGCGAGCTTAAAACAAGCTATTATAAAACCGCTGTTGAAGAAACCATCATTGGACCCCACTAAATTTGACAACTTTCGGCCTGTTTCCAATCTCCCCTTTTGGGGCAAAGTCATGGAAAGCGTGGTGGCCTCACAACTCCAGGTATTCTTGAGAGACACGGATTATCTGGATTCGGCACAGTCTGGTTTCAGACCGGGACATGGAACCGAGACGGTCTTGGTCGCCTTAGTGGATGATCTGCGCCGGGAGCTAGACAGGGGGAGTGTGTCCCTGTTGGTGCTCCTGGACCTCTCAGCGGCCTTCGATACCGTCGACCACGGTATCCTTCTGGGGCGCCTTGCGGAAATGGGTCTCGGGGGCACTGTTCTGCAGTGGCTCCGGTCATTTCTGGAGGGTCGCTCCCAGAAGGTGTTATTGGGGGACACCTGTTCAACACCACAGCCTTTGACTTGTGGGGTTCCACAGGGCTCTATACTGTCCCCCATGCTGTTTAACATCTACATGAAGCCGCTGGGTGAGATCATCCGGCGTTTCGGGGTGCGGTGTCATCTGTACGCAGATGATGTCCAACTCTGTCACTCCTTTCCCACCTGCTACTAAGGAGGCTGTCGAGGTCCTGAACCGGTGCCTGGCCGCTGTAATGGTCTGGATGAGGGCGAACAAATTGAAATTAAATCCAGACAAGACAGAGGTACTCCTGGTCAGTCGCAAGGCCGAACAGGGTATAGGGTTACAGCCTGTGCTGGATGGGGTCGCACTCCCCTTGAAGGCGCAGGTTCGCAGCTTGGGTGTGATCCTGGATTCATCGTTGAGCCTGGAGCCCCAGGTTTCAGCGGTGACCAGGGGAGCATTTGCACAGCTCAGGCTCGTGCGCCAGCTGCGCCCGTACCTCGGGAAGTCTGACTTGGCCACGGTAGTACACGCTCTGGTCACATCCCGCCTTGACTACTGCAACGCTCTCTACGTGGGGCTGCCCTTGAAGACGGCCCGGAAGCTTCAGCTAGTCCAGCGCGCGGCAGCCATGTTACTAACAGGAGCGGGACGCAGGGAGCACACAACGCCCTTGGTGTTTTTTCTTTATTTTCTTATTCTTTTTTTTTTTTTTATTTTTTATTTTTTTTTGTCATTTTTTTCTCTTTTTTGTTTTTTTTCTTGTCTTTTTTTTTGTTTTTTTTTTTCTTTATTTTTTTTTTTTTTTTTTTTTGTTTTCATTTTTTTTTTCTCTTCTTCTTCACTTCCCTCCACTGGCTGCCGATCTGCTACCGGGCCCAATTCAAGGTGCTGGTGTTGGCCTACAAAGCCCTAAACGGTTCCGGCCCAAAATACCTTTCTGACCGCATCTCGGCCTATGAGCCCACGAGGGCCTTGAGATCGTCTGGGGAGGCCCTTCTCTCGATCCCGCTGGCCTCACAGGCACGCCTGGCGGGGACGAGGGATAGGGCCTTCTCACTGGTGGCCCCCCGGCTGTGGAATACCCTCCCTGCAGACATCAGACAGGCGCCCTCCCTCATGACATTCCGGAAAAGACTAAAAACATGGTTATTTGAGAAGGCGTTTGACTAAGTGCCACAACAATTAGCAGTGCCACAACAATTAGCAATGACGACTGGAACGGACTATGGACAACGAGATTGGTTTATGATTCTAAGATGAGACGGCGCGGATGATTTATTGTTGATTGTTATGTTTATACTGTTGTTTGATATGCCCTTGTTGTAAACTGTTTTTATATGTTGTAAGCCGCCGTGAGTCGCCCTAGGGCTGAGAACGGCGGTCAACAAATGCAGTAAATAAATAAAATAAATAAATAAATAAATAAAATGGGTAAGGCCCAAGCCTCAGATCCAAAGATAGTTTAAGAAGAAATATTTTGAATAGTTGGCTTTCCATATTCTCAGATTCTGCATTCATAAATTTAACCATATTTTAAAAAATAAAAAACAATTTTGTATAAATGAACAGCATTTTACTATGCCATTATACATTATACATAATGGGACTTGAGAACCTATACATTTTGATACCAAGGGCTTGCTGTATTCCCATTTGATAAAAAATATAAGGGGCATACTTCATGTTATTAAACCATCCCATTTTCTTAAAAGGGGTCCCCTGGTAGTACAGCGGGTTAAACCACTAAGCTGCTGAACTTGCTGACCGAAAAGTTGGCAGTTCAAATCTGGGGAGTAGGGTGAGCTCCCGCTGTTAACCCCAGCTTCTGCCAACCTAGCAGTTCAAAAACATGAAAATGTGAGTAGATCAATAGGTGCTGCTTCTGCAGGAAGGTAACAGCACTTCATGCAGTCATGCCAGCCACATTACCTTGGAGGTGTCTACAGACAATGCCGGCTCTTCGGGTTAGAAATTGAGATGCGCACCACCCCCAGAGTTGGACACGACAAGACTTAATCTCAGGGGAAACCTTTACCTTTACTATTTTCTTAAAACATAGTACACACATCATTTTGTGTGTTTGGCCTTAGTATACATTTTTCTAAGAATTATTAGGTTGCAACACCCTCATCTAACCTAACTGTGAGGTTATGAAAGTTGTAGTCTAGCATACCTGAAGCACTGGAAGGTTAAGGTCACAGAATAATGAGCAGGTATTAGTAATAAACAAACAGGTGCCTTATCTACAACAGTCTCTTATGTTACTGCATTGTGTCCCTTGCATGTATTGGCTGACTCTGTCTAGAAGGAATTCAACTGGAACATGAGGACTAGTCTGTTGAATGCTTCTGTGGGAAACCAGTTGCAAAAGAAATATCTGATAGTTTTCTTCAGATATGATTTCAAGAGCTTTCTGATTTGAATACTGGCTCTTATCTAGAAGGGTAAGGGACAAGAGTATTGTTGTCAACGTGGCTTATGACTTAATTGGCTGGAGTTTTGGCATGCCTTACACATTCAACACATCTGCTTTTTTTTCTTACGATGCTGAGATTGAGTGGTGTGAGCAGGCTATGACTGATATGCTTTCTTGAATTTTGCTCTTGGATAACGTGAGGAAAACATTTACTATCATAACTGAAATGGCAAACATTTATACAAATCAACTAATACTGCTTCTGTGGGGACTAAAATTCTCATTAAGTTGGTAGACTTTACATAACTAGCTATATTTGTTAGATTGTAACAATCACTACGCAGTCTGGATTGTTGTTGCTTTTCTCCAAGCTGCCCCTCCTCCCATTTTACTTTTTTAAAAACTTTATTTTTGGTTAAAAACCCTGAGAGAAATATACTTTTCCCCACAAAGATAGAGAGATATTTTTGTGACATTTGTAATGTTTACTTTGAGTGTAAAAATCGCTGTGTTTTGAAAAAGTTTGGAAAATGGAATTTAATTACATATATGATGACTGCAAAGAGAACACAATGTCATCTTGTGAAGATAATGACGACAGAGGCCTCCTGCTTAGGCAATGCCTATCATAATGAGGCTATTACTATCTTAAGTATGTAAGACCTTGAGCCAAAGTTGACATGATTTCTGTGAAGTGATAGCTTCAGATATTCCACTTCCATATATAGTGTATATAAACACTTGATTGGAAGGGGAAAATTATAGAATCATAGAGTTGGAAGAGACCACATAGGCTATTCAGTCCAATCCCCTGCCTTGCAGGAAAAGCACATTTAAAGCACCCCTGACAGATGGCTATCCAGCCTCTGATTAAAAGCTTCCAAAGAAGGAACCCCCACCACACTCCAAGGCAGAGTTCCACTGCTGAACAGCTCACAATTAGGAAGTTCTTCTTAATGTTAAGGTGGAATATAATTTCCTGTAATATGAACCCAAATTACTAGAAATTTTAATGTTTAAACAGTTTTCCCATTTTAAAAATGCAGTGGGCAAACCGCTTTTACACACACATTATTCCTCAAATGTCATCTGTTTGTAGGTGAAATCATGGCTGTAGTGTCTACAGATGGGTGAAATGCAATAATGCCAAAAGAACATAGAAAAGGCCACATCGTTGTTACAGCTGAAGAACCTTGGCCTAGCTTGGGGCAAGGATCTAGGTCAGTGTTAAAAATCATGTGGCCATCAGATACTGTTTAGATTGCAGCTCCCAGCGGGCTTAGCCAGCATAGTCTGCACTGAAGAATGCTGGGAGTTGTACTCAAACACTATTGGAGAGCCGCACATGGTTCCCACTCTTGATATTAGGCATCAGGTGACCACTTGACAAATCCTTCGTCCCACAGCCTTGTGTTGGAGGAGACATGGAATGGCAGGAGTAGCATCCTGCATAACTGAATTGGTTCCTCTGTCACCTATGAATTTCATAACCGCCAAGCTGGGTGTGCTGCTGAATGCCTCAGCCCAAGGCCCTTTAAGGGGACCTTTGGAACTAGGGAGGGTAGGCAATGTAAGCTCATTCCCCAAATTGAATCTATGCTTTAACTGTCTACAGTCCCTATTACAAGTAAGAACCCAAGCAAAAAGTAAGAGTGCAAGCAGAAGATCTGAACCTACTGCATAAGGAACCTACCTGCCTACCATGTCCACTAGAAGCTGCAGTGGTGCAATGGGTTAAACCCTTGTGCTGGCTGACCTGCTGACCTGAAGGTCAACCGTTTGAATCTGTGAGATGGGGTGAGTTCCCGTCTGTCAGCTCCAGCTTCCCATTCAGGGACATGAGAGCAGCCTCCCGCAGGATGGGAACACATCCAGGCGCCATCTGGGCAACGTCTCTGCAGATTGCCAATTCTCTCACACCAGAAGCAACCTAGTTAGTCAACGACTATAATATCCCAGAAAATCCCATGAAAATCTTACAGATCCGTAGGAATCAGACTGCTGGCACACCCTGACAAGACGAGCGTCTGTTGTGGCCCAGTGCTTTTTCACAAGGCACTAATCCCCAGGTAGTCAGGGGGCCCCATTAGAGGTGGTTCAGTCCAAGTTTCTGAGATCGGCCTTGCAGGTACCTAAATGCGTTTCTAATGCCACCCTGCGACTAGAGACGGGTTTTATGAGAGTGGAGGCCAGGGTGTGGGTGGCCATACTTAACCTCTGGCTCAGACTGTCCCGTGCACCCCTTGGCCTTGCCCCACTAACCAGGAGGATGACTTCCAATCCACATGGAAGCAGGCGGTAGCATCCAAAATCTCCTCATTGGGATTTTCTCCAGGTCTACTATTAGCTATGGATTACAATCAAGCCAAAGCACTTATTAAACAACGTATCACAGACACAGAGCGCCAACTAGATCTGGCCTCGGCTCCAAGCTTCCTTATCAGTGAAGACAGCAGATACCTTGCCTCCCCTATGGCATATTTAACATACTTAGAGGTTCCTATTCATCGAAGGGCTTTCACCCTGGCCCGATGCCACGCTCTCCCATCAGCTGTACTCGAAGGCCGCTACCAGAAGATCCCTTTCCCAGAGAGACTCTGCCCCTGTGACTCGGGTCATGTAGAAACAATAGAACATGTGCTCCTTCAGTGCCCGTTCTACAGGGATATCCGTGCCAGGCTTATCTTGTGTTTTTAGTAGTTATATTTATATTTTTAATGTACCAAACATGCCAGGTTTGTCTGGAAATGTGACACTATTTCCTGTGCTGGTCAATGACCGAAATAAATATTTTGTTTGTTTGTTTGTTTGTCTGTCAGGTAGTCAGGGGACCAATATGTATCTTCATCTAACAGTTCAGTTACTTGTCCTCCTAATTTAAAACAATTGATATTTTAGTGCTCTTTCCATTACTATGGGATACTTTCCTCCTTTTCATTGCCACTAATAACATCTGAATGGAGCAAAACAGGATATGTATTTGTACTATAACATGGGTGGCCCCTTTCTGATTTAGCAAAGCTCCTGCACCCAAGGAATTTACACATCGTGAGACAAGGATAGAGAGGATAAAAAGGATGTGAGCAAACGTTAAATATACATAAACCTTTATTACATAATTGGGAATCAAGATTAACAGCCAATGGCCATATGAAAAAACAGATTTTGATAATTGATAGTTTCTTTTTAGGTCTAGAATTGAAAAAGAAATGGTTTAATTGCAGCAAGTGTTGCATATATGAACTAACCCTTGGCTGTCATTTTCCAGGAAGCAAGTCTGAAGTATTAAATGCACATTTATAAATCAGGTTAAACACTGTTTTTCTGCTTAGTCAAAACCTTTATTTCTGTTTCATTTTCAGACACTGGTGAAGCTTTTCTCTGGTCGTAAGCCAATGCTGTACAGTTTCCAGACATCCCTGCCACGTCTTCCTGTTCCATCTGTTAAAGATACAGTAAATAGGGTGTGTTCGATTTTTATAAACTCATTCTCCTCAAATGTAAATCCAGATGGAATGCTTGCCTTGATTTGCTTTGTTCCCAACCATACGTCAGTAAACAATTAACATGGTATCTGATTAACTCAGTTCAAGATTACATTATGTGTCCTTTCCCTTACAGTGAAATCAAACATGTCATTGTCTATTGGCACACCCTTACTTTATCTTGCATTATCTTTCCCCGTAAGGCAAGATATTTAGAGTCTTCAGATTCCCGCATTTTTATCTATTGTCTGTATTGTGTAATCTGTTAATGTTTTAGTGGCCTAAGATCATTTTCTTCACGATACTTTTTTTTCTCAGGATGTCATTATATAATTACTCATTACAGAAGGAATAACTTTGGCCTAAATCCTATTGTTAGACTCATTGAATCAATAGGAAATTGAATATCAACAATCCTGTTGTGTTAGTAGAAGCTAATTGCGATTTAGGCCTGCATATAAGAGGAAAAGTGTTATTGGTTTAGACAGGAAACAGTAATAGCACATATGTAAAAACAAATATATATTCACTGAAAGAAATGAGATTAAAATAGCAACATGTCCTGTTAAAGGTCTATAAAGACTTATAGTAGGCAAATTCAATTTTTCAAATATTACATGATAAAATAGACTTAGGATGGAAGTGGAAAAAAATAAAACTTTGTAAGTATCTTTAGAAATTTGGTCACATCTCTTGAAATGTGGAAATTACTACAAAATAAGGTCCAGGTTATAGGGCAACCTAAGTTGTAAGTAAAAGAATTGCAGTTCAAATTTCTGGAAATGATAGAAATATCTTTTTCTCTGTAATTTGACCATTTGCACAGAAATTGTCTATGGGCTAAAATATAGTAGAGCAGGGTATTATAATGAAGGAAAAATGGCATTGCCTTAAGTTATATTTATTATAATATTGATATTTGTTATGAGAACATGCAAGTCCAGTTTGGACCGTAGTTTTACAAGCTAGAAATGGATTTTGAGCCTCCTGATATCTTGTCTTCTATCAGCATGCCATTTCTGGCTGAATCTTTGATTTAATGTCATTTGACTATCCAAACGTTAAACTGCAATTTAAACCTGGTTGTCAAATGCACATTAAATCTCACTTCTCTATTTCAAATATTATAGGGAACAGTAGTTTCAAGGTAACAGGCTGGCATGTCAACAAAAGACATTGCTCTGGCACTTGTTTCCAACCTACCAAATCATAGATCAGGAAGCTGGGAACATCCATTTGAATTAGATCTGAGAGCTGGTCTTTTGTATAGTTACTGCTACAACATTTATAAGGGATGGGGTGAGCTCCCGTTGTTAGCCCCATCTTCTGCCAATCTAGCAGTTCAAAAACATGAGTAGATCAATAGGTACCACTTCGGCGGGAAGGTAGGGGCGCTCCATTCAGTCATGCCAGCCACTTGAGCTTGGAAGCATCTACGGACAATGCCGGCTCTTCAGCTTAGAAATGGAGATGAACACCAACCCCCAGAGTCTGGCACAACTAGACTTAATGTCAAGATGAACCTTTACCTTTACTTTTACAATATGTATGTCTGATATTTGGAGAGGCAAGGAAAGATGAATTACTAAGCAATGTCCCTGCATGTTTTTCCTTCTGACCTTTAAATTTGGGTGAAATTAGTTAAACATTTTGAAACTGGATAGATTTCTAGATGACTAGACTTTGGTGAGTCTTTTTGTGATACAAGCCAGTAACATACAAATTATAGATTCATGTTTTAAAAGTTATGACTTCGTATGTTCTAAGTGCAGCGATGGCTTGTCCCATCAAAAATCATACTGTTAGGACATTACTTCTTCATCACACCAGATAATACTGACAGCTGTATTGCTCTGTTGTACTATCCTTTTACTTTCATTTGTTGCTTATTTGTGTCATGAGAATGATGTGGGGAGATTATAGGCCCTGCCATGCTGATAGTCTTTTTCTTCTTATCCATTCTAGTATTTAGAATCAGTTCATCCACTTATGAATGATGAACAGTTTAAAAGAATGGAAGCTCTTGGCAAAGATTTTGCAATTAATTTGGGACCAAAGCTACAATGGTACTTGAAATTGAAGTCCTGGTGGGCTGCAAACTATGTAAGTAGATGAGTTGTATGCTTTCCTGAAATCATATAATTTCCACTTTCAAATCTTCTTTGTTCCAGAGCTTATGTTTTACAAGTTCTTTTGTAATTGACGAAAATTACTCTGCAAAAGGAAACATTGCTTATCATTTCAGTGCATTGTTTTTAGAAATTACTGTTTGTGTGTTAGCAATAAAAATACTATTAAGTAAAACATGATAAGAAATGAGCTTTTATGTAGCCCCACATTATTCATTAGAAACTGGTACATTTTTGGGTTTATGTCATGTTTGGATTAGATCAACTAAGCCGTTCTTCAATGATGGCAACCCTTGTCGTGCCAAAAAGCAGTAACACCACCATAGTACTCTATCCTAGACAGGAAAATATATTCTTCTGGACACAGTACTGAATTTTTGATTTTACTTCCATTGTCAAAAGCAAGGCATCTAATGTATCAAGGCTTTTGTATCTTTTGATATCTTGATAAATTTCCCAAATTAATTGTTTGGATCTTATTCTTGTAGGTTAGCGATTGGTGGGAAGAATATATTTACCTTCGAGGCCGTGGGCCTATTATGGTAAACAGCAATTACTTTGCAATGGTAAGTATATTAAGCAGTCTATCAACATTCTTGTACTTCTCACAGACCCACTTCCTTTATGGCAGGGATGGGGAAAACATGTGGGCGTCCAAGTGCTCATAGATTGCAACTCTTCCTCACGTTTGGCTATGCGGCATGGGGGGTGCAGTCAAACAATGTCTGGAAGGCCAGAAGTTGCCCAGCCCCCTTCTGTGAAGTGCAGTGCACTTCAGGTTAGCTGAGATACTAAATAAAGTTGTGTTCATAAATAAGCAACAAATGTTGCCACTTTTTGGGGTGACTTTTATCATGTGCAAATTTTTCCAGCATGTGCTACGAAGATGGAGTCAATTGCTGCTGTAACAAGAGTTTGTCCTTTTGCTTGTGTGTATCTGCAGAAGTAATTTGGTGTTGCTGGCACTTGGGCTGAGAGGCAGTGCATGTTGCTGAAATAGCATTCTGTTTAGTAATATAATATATCCCAGTCAGCTGTTGTAAACTTCCATAGATTTTTAAAGATAAAATAGCTATATTCATATTTTGACTGACTTTCCTTCCACCATTTGTACTGTGACAGTAAAACTGGTATAAATTGGCACATTCTCTTTGCCTTGTTGTTGTTGTTGTTGTTGTTGTTCCATGAGCATAACTTTCAGACCAGCAAAGAACTGAGTGTTCATACAAAGGGAATGTATGAATTATCTCCATCTCTGCTTCTTTGTTTCTCTCTGCTATACTGATGCCCAGGAGCCTAGATCTGATGTGGAAAATCAGTGATTGGACTCTCACTCCAATACATAAAATAGTATTAAGCCTGATAATGAGGAGAGTGATGATGTCCCATTCCTTCAGACTTAATCTAGCTCATAGAATCATAGGTTGGAAGGGACCTCGTGGGCCATCCAGTCCAACCCCCTGCCAAGAAGCAGGAAAATTGCATTCAAAGCACCCTTGACAGATCCATCCTCCCAAGAGGTAGCCTCCACCACACTCCGGGGCAGGGAGTTCCACTGCTGAACAGCTCTCACAGTCAGGAAGTTCTTCCTCATGTTCAGGTGGAATCTCCTTTCCTGTAGTTTGAAGTCATTGCTCCGCACCTTGGTCTCCAGGGCAGCAGAAAACAAGCTTGCTCCTTCCTCCCTATAACTTCCCCTCACATATTTTATTCATGGCCCTCATCATGTCTCCTCTCAGCCTTCTCTTCTTCAGGCTAAACATGCCCAGCTCTTTAAGCCGCTCCTCGTAGGGCTTGTTCTCCAGACCCTTGATCATTGTAGTCATTCTCTTCTGGACACATTCCAGCTTGTTAACATCTCCCTTCAATTGTGGTGCCCAGAATTGGACACAGTATTCCACATGTGGTCTGACCAAGGAAGAATAGAGGGCTACCATGACTTCACTAGGCTCCTATTTATGCAGTTCACTCCAAACTGTTGTTAGTTTTGATAGTGGAAACATAGAACATACTGAACAGGGTTACACATTGCCTCTAGCAATGTAAGAAAAACATTGATAGGTGCTTTTGGCTGAAAAAGTGGAATCATGAGGTAGAATTGATGCTTCTACAGCATTGCGAACTATATTAAAATTAACATGTGCACATATAAAGCTTACCTTTCAGCATATAAAGGGAGAATCTGCTAATGTCTTTTATTTCATTTTCTCATCCTTTAGGACTTTCTGTATTTTACACCCACCTCTGTGCAGGCAGCTAGAGCTGGAAATGCTATCCATGCCATCCTCCTATATAGAAGAAAACTGGACAGGCAGCAGATTCAACCAGTATGTACATTTTCCTCAAATAGTTACAGATGTGAATCTTACGTTTTAAAAATAATTTTACATATTGAGAAATAACTGAGGGGAGGAATAAAGCTTTCAACTATTAAGGCTAATGTGTAAGATCTCCATAACAAGGATGGAAGAGTTTGCTGAATTTCTGGCTCCACATGACAGAAAGGAAAGCTGGATTCAGGGACAATGAGGTCTGTTCCACAGACCCAGTTATGCAGACCCCTGCTATTTTCTGCCTCAAGCTCAGGATGCTCTCTTCCCATAATAACAATAAAATTCCTATCCTGTCCCAACTTAAATCCTTGGTTTAAGTATCATTCCCGATGACAGTTGACCCATTGAAATGACATAAGCTACCACTTATGTAAGTCTTCTTGATTGCAGTGAGTTATTCTATTTAAGATTAATATTGGATTTAACCCAAAATGTTCCATAGGGACAGGATAGGAACCTTGCTGGTACTGTCTGAGATATCACGGGGTATTCTGAAAATGGGCATTAAGTGAATTGGAGGGGCTCTGATGTGTTTAATTGGTTGTCAGGTTTCCTGCAAGACTTTCACATAGTCCAAGTTGGAATCCTTTCTCTATTCACATATCATGCCTGAAAAATCCTGGACTAGTCATGGGAAGTACAAATTTTAAAGAAGCAGTGTTGCCAGGTGAAACTACAAAATGTACTGAATCACTTCTGTGGATTTACGGCTTCCTGAGTTTGAGATGGGACATAAAAGTAGAAGTGTGGGGGTATGTTTCCACTGAATCGTGATATTCTTCAGGATGTCTCTACTTTAGTAAAGCCCACTCACCTCCCAATTAAGCTTAGTTTGAGATTTGGAATAATGAAAACTTTCAAGGTGTCTTAGCATTGCTTATTGTTATAGGAATGCATCTCAGATGATTGGACGTAGTTGTCTAAATTAACCATGACTTGTATAGCTGTGGAAGAAAAAAAATGCTTTAATGTATTGCAAACAAATCAGAGAATGTGAGCTAACCTATATATCATTATTAGTCCCTTTACTGCATTAAGTGCACATGCTAATAGCTACCTGATCTGAGGAAAAAAATTCACAATGTATTTTTCATGGGATATAACCTGACAGTTTTCTTTTAAATGCTAGTAAGAACCTCATCACACTAGATAATGAATCTACTTTAAATCTGGTTTCTGCCTCCTGCAGAATTCTGGAATTTGTAGTTTAGTGAGGTTGTTAAAGGTTCCTCCCTAAACTACAAACTCCAGAATTCGGCAGAAGGCAGCAAACAGTTTTAAAGTGGATTCGTTCTCTAGTGTGATGAACTCTTAAATAGCATGAGGAAAAGAACAAATTTAGTCATCTACTATGTAGCTTTAGTTCTTTTTAAAAAAAAGTTAGCTTTTTGGCAAGTCTGGGAAGTACCTCCCTCAACCAGATGAGCTGTGGTCCAGACTGTTCTCCAAAACTGTAGTGATTCCACTTTCATTTCCCCAAATCAGAAGTGACTGGAAGTTATACTTCTGGTTTTGGAAAATCAGCTGCTTGAGATGATTTAGCAGGAAATTGTCATTTCTGGAAGTTTTTAAGAGCAGCAATTCATTTTTTATTTATTATTTTCCCTATCAATTTATATGTCCAAAAACAATTGAGAATGGGAGCTGTCAAGCACTCACAGGCTATCTATTGTACATTTTATGCCACAATAAAAGAAAGTTCACTTTGAGACCCCATTGGAGCTGCTTTGAGTTTTCTTTGGGGGAGATAAAGTGAGTTATAAATAAGAATAATAAATAATAATGATAATTTAGTCTTTTAACAATATGTCAGGATGAAAAGCTGAAATGATCTGAATTTAATATTTAATGAGTGACTTCCATACATATGGAAGTAGCATAGCTTACGGAAAGCAAGCTAAATATGTGTATGATGAAGTCAAAACGGAAGTCTAAATAGTAAAATATTCATTATAAGGAAGGCCTGCATCCTCTTGTATATATCACTGTCTTGAATGAACAGTGAATACATGAAGTTGCATCTGGTGTTGTTGATGAAGGCTTTCATGTCCGGAATCATGGGATTGCTGTGGGTTTTCTGGTATGTATGGCCATGTTCCAGAAGCCATTTTCTGGAACATGTTTCTGGAACATGGCCATACAGCCTGGAAAACTCACAGCAACCCAGTTGCATCTAGGTTTGGACTTCCATATATGAAAGAGACTACTACCCAGTGAGTTTTCTCCAGTGCTTCTTGTGCCTCACAAAATCCTACTTTCCAACATCTATAACAGTCAGGAACAGGATTGAAAGTGCCACTTTGGTTTCTGGAAAAAGGTGAACATTGGAAGAAACCTTCATGTCCTAGAGCTCAGTACCTGCACAACTCTGTTGGGCCAAGACTACCAATGATGTTGGGCAAAGTGCTGTTCTCTAAATGTTGTTGGATTGCAATTACCATTACTTTTATTCAGTAGGCCTAGTCCATTGGAAGAGACTGACTGTTGCTCACCCTTTCCATAGAGTTCCCCCCCCCCTTTATATCTTCTGCGTAGTAACCCGGTTCCTTGCATTTATCCATTTATGGCTCAAATGCTGACCATTCAAAAGAGCACTAATTCAAATTATTACTAAAACTTTAAATGTGTTTCTGTTTTAAATTATTTTATGCACCTTCTGTTTATCAACTACTGTCCTTTTTCCTGTGTTAACTTTTAAATGAGAAGGAATTATATTTCAGAATGACGGTCAAAGTGTTCAATCTCTACAGTTGTTGTACAGGAAAAGACCAAAGTGTGGAACAATAACATTGTATACCTTTCAACTATCTCTTTCATGGTGTAGTACAGTCTCGCTTATTCAACCTTTGCTCATCCAACATTCTGTATTATCCAATGCAGTCTGCCTCCTGCCCAGATCGACAGCTGTTTAAATAAATTGCGATGTTTTGGTGCTAAATTCGTAAATATAGTAATTACTACATAACATTACAGTTGTATTTAACTGCTTTTTCTGTCAATTCGTTGTAAAATATGATGTTTTGGTGCTTAATTTGTAAAATCACAAAGTAATTTGACATTTAATAGGCTTTTCCTTAATCCCTTCTTATTATCCAACATTTTCACTTATTTATTTATTTGTTTTATTTATTTGCTTTATTTCTATACCGCATTTTTCAGCCCTTGACAGGCGACTCAATGCGGTTTAATCCAACATTCTGCCAGCCCACTTATGTTGGATAAGTGAGACTCTACTGTACCTTGTGTCATTATTTGAGTCGAGACATTCAGTAACAAATGTGTTGTGCAGACATGAAACATTTTCAGTAATATTATGCTTGCAGATGAATATCATCCCTAGATGGGCTGTCATTGTGTACATGGCTGTATTCCTTTTTTTCCTCTCTTCAACTTGATTTCTCTATTTTTATAGGAGGGAATTTTAGCAGCCTGTTTCTGGCACTAGAAAAGCAGGACCCTATAATATTTCAAAGTACAGGGTGTTTCAAAATGATGAACCCAGTTTCAAACCAATGTATTTCACAACAGCAACAAATTACAATTACACAAAAAATTACAAACAATTTAATCAGTTAACAAGTTATCCCTAAATTATACTAACCATTTAGTAAATGAGGCAGAAAATTTTAGAACATAACTGCAAGTGGAAAATATGGGTCTTCTGTTGTGGGGTCGCCATCTTGCAAATGACCGAGGCTGTTTATGCACCGGCAGAGGCACCTAGTGATAATAATTTGAAACTCCATACCACATCCTTTCACGTGGTAAGGGTTTCATTCACGGATGGATTGCAGAGATACTGTATAGCGATTTCTAATGGGTCTATCTTTTGAAATAGCCTGTATAATTGCAGCTGAACTCTCATGGAAATGTTCATATAAAATATATAGATTGTATCCAGCAGCTAAGTCAGGCATGGGCAAACTTCGGCCCTCTGGGTGTTTTGGACTTCAACTCCCACAATTCCTAACAGCCTACCGGCTGTTAGGAATTGTGAGAGATGAAGTCCAAAACACCCGGAGGGCCGAAGTTTGCCCATGCCTGATCTAGGTAATATTCCCCATTATCATTAATGCAATATTATATGTCTTGAAAGGTGGAGGAAGAAAACAATAGAATGGATTTGTCATCTTAAAGTAGCATAAGAAAAACCCATATAGACTTAAATAGAACAGGAATGTGTTAATTAATAATGAATAAGACTTTTGGAAGAATAGGTTCTGAAAGCTACTTTACACAAGGCCAAGTCTCCTGTTGAACTGCATATGCATAACTGAAATGAGATACATACACGTTTAATGACAGCTGGTAAATGTTGTATGAGATTCATTTCATTTCCCTCTCTGTGTAGGGAATTCCTCCTAGTTTGAAGTGGCCTAGGAATCCCCCAATCTTCTGACAATCACTCTAACCCTGGCATGTGTTTTTCTCTTCACGTGCTAACTCTATCTGTAAATCACAATTGTAATGCACGTTTGCGGCATAGATTCTTCTGATGGGATCCACTGTTCCACTCTGCTCAGCTCAATGGGAGAGGATGTTTAATACCTCCCGTATTCCAGGAGAGGAAACAGGTAAGAATAACCAGTTGAAGGCAAGAACATCACAGAATCCTAAGAGTGTGAAATGCTGCCAGAACTTCCTGTTGAATATCCCATCCTAATAACCCATGTTCATATTCATAGTGTCACGCCTAAAGAAAACTGAATGAGCTGCACTCTTCATAGTTGCTGTGAAAATCTCCGAACACATTTAGAATATTTTGATGGTTAAAAAAAAAATTCTGCTTGCATTCTGATATGGTTTGGTTATTTCTTTCCTTCAAAAAAATACCCTTTTTCTAGGAAACTATTTGCTACCCAGTATGAACCTGTCTTTTTATGTGATCGTTACCATTTTTATTCCACTCCTTTGGGTCCTCTTGGTTTCCATCGCTTCACTGAAAACTTGGCGTGGGGGATTTTTTTGACTTTCCCTTTTTCCTTTCAGCTTATGATTTACAATGTCATCCCAATGTGCTCCTCTCAGTATGAACGTATGTTCAACACTAGTCGTATACCGGGCATAGAGACAGGTATAGTGTTAGTCCTGTCAATGTATCTGGCCTCTTGCATTCTAATATTCTATATATGTGACATTGCTTCAGCCTATAACATCCTGCGTGTATTCGCTGAGGCTGTGTGATTTTTCTAACAAAGAGGTCACTGTAATTCTATTGCGCAGTGCTGTGAGATCCACTTCTCTAAAGTTTTGAACCATTTCAGTGTTCCTACTAAATGGGTTAGGTCAAAATAAGATGAATGATCCCCACCAATATAGTCTCAGAAAAAGGAAATATTTGTGTTTTTCTGAACGGGTGGTTTTAAAAAAAGTCACATTTCTCTACCAATTCTGTGTTGCAGAATTTCCAAATTGGTATGTATATCATACAATGTAATACATACAAAAACTACAAAAATCTAAAAAGTGATAACATTTATCACTTTGTTTACATAGCCCGAATTATAGTAGGGTCTCCTGGTGGTACAGCAGTGGGTTAAACCGCTGAGCTGCTGAACTTGCTGAGTGAAAGGTTGGTGGTTCAAATCCGGGGTTGGTGGTTCAAATCCGGGGAGCTTTTAGGCCCAGCTTCTGCCAACCCAGCAGTTCAAAAACAGGCAAGTGTGAGTAGATCAATAGGTACCGCCTTGGTGGGAAGGTAACGATGCTCCATGCAGTCATGCTCGCCACATGACCTTGGAGGTGTCTACAAACAACGCTGCCTCTTTGGCGTAGAAATGGAGATGAACACTACCTGTCAGAGTTGGTCATGACTAGACTTAATGTCAGGGGAAACCTTTACCTTTACCTAATTATATTAGGGTAATATGAAGTAATATGAAGTTAAGGAGCATTCATGTTTTAAAATAAAACCCACCCTAAAGAGACAGTTTAGAGTTTAGTTCTTTAACTCACTCTGCTGTAATCCTACACTTGGCCTTTTTGAATGCCTTGGTTGAAAAATAGTGGCAACAGGCAAGTTCAACTGGCCCCCTGAGCCAAGGCTAGCACTTTTCCCTTTCTGCAGAATTATCCTCAATTTATCCACAGGTCATATCATAATCCATGATTTTGGTCCTAATCCTTGCCCTTGACTTATACGTAAAGATCTATTATACTGATTTTTTAATAACAAAGTCATATCAATCTAATAATAATCTTTTAAAAATACCTAATGCATAGGGGATGATACAGCTTCTCAGTATTCTGTGTTTACCAACTGGGTTCACTCTTAAAATAATAATAACAAAAACTCTTAAAATAACAAAATAACTGTTCGAACCTCAAGATGGGGTGAGCTCCAATCTGTCAGCTCCAGCTTCCCATGTGTGGACATGAGAGAAGTCTCCCACAGGATGGTAATACATCCAGGCGTCCCCTGGGCAATGTCTCTGCATACGGCCAATTCTCTCACACCAGAAGCAACTTGCAGTTTCTCAAGTTGCTTCTGACCTGATTTAAAATCTTTCTTCAAACTTGCATATGGACAGATCTTCTGGATGATCCACATTTCAATGGCAAAATGATCACATTAATTTCACTTCTTTTTCACCCCCTACATTAGAATATTCTGAACACACCTGCAAATATTATTTTTTTCATCTAGAGGTGTAAGAAAGCAGACACACTGTATATGAATAGGTTGCAAATGTATCCTATAATTACCTAACATTAGGAAGAAGTAGTGTCTTCTTTCTAGGAAAAGCAGCTTTTGTTATGTGCTGATTAAATAGTTGATTAGAAGCAGGCTCAAATGGTTCACAATACTTCCTTGAACTGGACCTTGATAAAATATCATGTACTACTTCGTAATATAATTGTCCAACTTCATAATGTAACTGTGAACTGAAGGAACTCTTCACCATTTTGTCCAAATTCCCTCTTAATTTTAATGATCACTTTTTAAAATTTCCTCTCAGTTATTTAAGATCATTACTAATTTTCTCAGTAATGCCTCTTTTTCATATCTTATATCTTTTAAGCTTGCTTAGCATGTTATTCTATTGATAATTAAAAAATAATGATCAAATGTTGGGAGTAAATAAAAAGGAACGCTTCTATGAAAGCAGTGCTTTTGCTGTGTGATCGTTCTGCATCTGGTGAAAGGTTTGATATCTGCATTCCTGGTTTCCTTTGTATGGATGTTGACTGCATTTATATTTTTTTCACTATAAAGATGAACACTATTACATTACTAGATTTGTTTTTACTTTTGGTGATCACACTACATATCAAAACATATCAAAACATCTTACATCAGAGAAGTCTTGAAGCAAATGTCCCCATTTTTTTTATCTCAGGCCATTTATGTAAAGACATTCTCCCCACAGAAAAAGTGAATGATATTCCTTGAGAGTATGTTACCATCTCTCAGCCAGTGAATGTTTCAATTTTTCCCATAGCAGTTATAAAGGAATGAGATGGACGCTTCGGAAAGAATTGGTCATGTCTTTCTGGACCTTCCTTTACATGAGAACTTCGTTAACAGCACAGATGTTATGCAATTCGCTTTCTAAGTGATATTTGGCTACCCAGTTGGTGATATTCCAAAAGATAGATTTACTTTAATCGCATAAGGCATCCTTTCTCAATCTTTGTGCCCTGGAAGACCTTTTATAATTTTAAGGTCTCGGGAAACCCTTGAACAAGATTATTATCTATAGCTTTTTAAAAAAAGATTAAAAATCACAACCTCTCAAAGAACCTTTAGGCTTCAGGAAACCCTGGTTGAAATACTCTATCATGAAATACACAGAGTAAGACTACAGAAGTACATATGCTGGCGTCATAGATGAAGCCCTCAGTGACACAATGGGTTAAACCCTTGTGCTGGCAGGACTGGTGACTGACAGGCCAGCAGTTTGAATCTGGGGAGAGCATGGATGAGCTCCCTCTGTCAGCTCCAGCTTCCCATGCGGGGGCATGAGAGAAGCCTCCCATAAGGATAGTAAAACATCAAAACATCTGGGAGTCCCCTGGACAAAGTCCTTGCAGATGGCCAATTCTCTCACACCAGAAGCGACTTGCAGTTTCTCAAGTCACTCCTGACACACACAAAAATAGATGTTTTAAAGTACTGGTGCTTTCTGCAGCACATTTTTTAAAACAGTCTACTCAGTTGAGTTTTGACTAATGGGTGTGGCATGATTGAATACTGAATGTTGTTTTGAGCTGAGTATTGTTTTGGTTTGAAAATCGTACGTCACGGAAACTTTTGCTCATTTCCAAATCCTGGATTATAATTCTAGACACTATCCAGCACATAAAAGACAGCAAACACATCATTGTGTACCATAAAGGGTGCTTTTACAAAGTATGGCTGTACTATGATGGCAGACTGCTAAAACCCCGGGAGATTGAACAGCAGATGCAGTGGATTCTCGATGATAAATCAAAGCCCCAGCCAGGTGAAGAGAAGTTAGCTGCTCTTACTGCAGGAGACAGGTACGAGCTTGATAAAACGAGTGGACAACTACAGTGAATCTATTCTACATTTGTCTAATCACTGCTGACTAATCCTTTGAATATTAACAGAACTTTTTATAGAGTCTGTAATACATACTTTTTCATGTACTATGGCAGGGGTCCTCAAACTAAGGCCCGGGGGCCGATTGCGGCCCTCAAAGGTTATTTACCCGGCCCTCGCTTAGGGTCAACCTAACTGTGTAACGACTTGAAAGCACACAACAACAACAATCCAATCTTATCAGCCAAAAGCAGGCCCACACTTCCCATTGAAATACTAATAAATTTATATTTGTTAGGATTGCTCCTCATTTTAATTATTGTATTGTTTTTAAGTGTTCTTTGCACTACAAATGAGATGTGTGCAGTGTGCATAGGAATTCATTCATGTTTTTTTCAAATTATAATCTGGCCCTCCAACAGTTTGAGGGACTGTGACCTGGCCCTCTGTTTAAAAAGTTTGTGGACCCCTGTACTATGGTATTTCATCAGATTGAGTGTGAGATGGAGTAGTTGGTACCTGTATGATTATTCCTTTTATCACTTCCATATTCAGCCTTAAGGAATCAGCATTAATTTGATTAACAATCTTGTATATCTAATTTCTAACAAGATATTGCTTCCTTGGAAGGGTTCTACTGTGAAAGGCAGCCTATAAATAGTTTAAAATAGATAAACGTGTATAAATGACTGAATACATAATTTGGTGCTTATATTCCATGAAAATTCTAAGACCCGTCGCAAACTAACCTCCTGCGGGAGCAAACTGTGCCAGCACGTCCCTGACGTCATGAGACTCCGCCTCTCTCCCCGCCCCTTTCTCCACCTCTTTCTCCGTGCCAGAGTGGTTTTTCCTTTGCTAGGGCAGCATTGCCAGCGTACTCTCGTTGTTGAATTCTGCCAACTGAGAGAGTACGCTGGCAATGCTGCCCTAGCAAAGGAAAAACCACTCTGGCACGGAGAAAGAGGCGGAGAAAGGGGCGGGGAGAGAGGCGCAGTCTCATGACGTCAGGGACGTGCTGGCACAGTTTGCTCCTGCAGGAGGCTAGTTTGCGGCGGCTCTAAGAAACCAAGTAGTGAAGGCAAGAATATTTAGTGTTGTGTACAATTTTACCCTTTCAATGGCCTACTTTATATGCCCTTTTAAATCTTACCATCTGGTGAGCATTGGAAAGAGGTATTTGGGTGTATTTGGATGTGTGCTCACATGCTTCATAACCCCTGTCAATCCGTCCATTAATGCACTGCCCTCCTAGCTGTGTTTCAGTGCTCTCTGATGTACCAGTCCTCTCCCATAATTTTTTTCATCTGTGCTTCCCATCCATTCCTCCATCAATTCATCCATCCATCTTTTTCTTGGCCTATTAAAAACACATAATGTTAGATTAGAGAGTGGGAGCTGCCCTCTGAACATTATTGGGCATGTTGCATGCAGTGGCTTTGACTGCTAGTTTGGGAGAAGATAATTGAGGGCTGCAGGCGGGTTATAAATTGACTCCCCATGCTTTGACCATTGTGCTGTCTGTTTTGAGAGGAGATTAGTGTGTATTTTGAGACTTGTCTAACATTTGCAGAGCTTGTAGGAATTCATTCTGTAGCAATATTTTCCTATTACGTTGTTTTTATTTTGTTGCCTTAAAGTTGTTTCCAGCTTACGAAAAGCTTAAAGTAAATCCGTCATGGGGTTTTCTTGGCACAATTTGTATGGAGGAGGATTGCATGACTTGCCCAAAGTCACCCAGGAGGTATCCATGGCCAAGTGGGAATTTTAACCCTGGTCTCCTAAGGTCCGAGTCCAACACTCAAACCATTACACCATGCTACCTCTCCTCATTCGGGACATAGTTTTAAAAGAAAATGAATCTAAAATGTCTCATACTTTTTAATGACTCCCTGTTGATATTCTTGTGGCAGAGTTCCATGGGCTAAAGCTCGCCAAACTTACTTTGCACGTGGAAAAAACAAGCAGTCTTTGGATGCTATTGAAAAGGCCGCTTTCTTTGTGACTCTGGATGACACTGCTCAGGGTTATAGGGAAGAGGATCCAGTGGCAACAATGGACACGTATGCAAAGTCACTTCTGCATGGCAAATGCTATGACAGGTACGTTGCAAAGAAGGAGCAGAAGTAATTTTGCTTTTGACATGTGTACTTAATTATCTTACATCTCTTCCAAAAAGAATTGAAATAGCAATTAAAATAGTACCATTCCAGATGTATAAAAACAGCAAATTATGGTTATTATTAACATTCATGATGATTTTTTTTGCCTTTTCTAGGTGGTTTGACAAATCATTCACCCTTATAGTGTTCAAGAATGGCAAAATGGGCCTGAATACTGAACATTCATGGGCGGATGCTCCTATTGTAGGACATCTTTGGGAGGTGAGTGTGTAGCTGAATTAGCCATACAAACTGGGCTTCTTAATGGATTTGGATGTTTCCCACTTTTACTTTTCTAAGTACTTCACTTTTACTTCACTTCCTTTTTAAAATTCATCTGCTTGTCCTAACCAATGAAAGCTTTATGAGCAGAAAATATTCTTTACGACACCCTTCATATATGCAATTCATGAGTGCTAGATATTGTCAAGCATTCTACCACCATTTCCAAAATATACATATAGTTAATTGGACTTTTTGTCCCAAGCAAAGCTTTTGCTACTCCTTATCATATTAGCCTTAAGGGAATGTGGCCTGTATGGCTGCTACAGTCTTGCATATTACTGAGCCATTAGAAGAGGTAGGTAACAAATAAAATGTATTGTTGTTTTTGTTGTTTCAACATCATGTCATGTGTAGCATACCCTCACCAGTAAAAATGAATGAGGAACATATTATTTACATTCCCCATGAGATTTGGGTCACCCAAAACAAAACTTCCAGGGCATTTGTCGTCTGTTAGTATTCTTCATTTAGGTCAGTTTGCAGGATTTTGAGGTATAATCTGACCTTAAATCGTAATAAACTCTCTGCCTAGCTCTCTGTCATTTGTCGTGTTGCTCTTCTTGTGATAAGCTGGCAGGGGTGGTGGTCTATAATTACCATTCATGGTTTGGACAGTAACCGCACACAGCCCTGGTAGAATTAAGCTTCTTTTGATGCTTTCCTCTTGCATGATGTAATTAATATGCAGCATATAGCAGTTTGAATTTTTTAGGTGCAATGTCTGTTCAAATTTGTACATAAGGTTTTCCTACCCTGACATACAAAGAACATGGCTGAAAAATATAAAAAAATTTAGCACATTTCCTGATACTAATTTTCCTTTTATATTTTATTCTTAATCCATGTGTTTAGACTCATGTGTGTGATTATGAGTTCATCTCCCCTTTCCTCCACAGAATGTCATGTTTTCTGACTGCCTTGAGCTGGGCTACACAGAAGATGGGCATTGCAAAGGAGAATCCTCTTCTGGTATCCTTATGCCTAGCAGACTACAATGGGAAATCCCTGAAGAAGTGAGTACAGAGTCATTCCTCCATCAGTGTAAATGGTGATGGATATAGGGGAGGCAACATTATTTGGTTGGTTTGGTTATCTCTTCATAAAGGTCCCTGAAGTAAATGTTCAGCAATGGTGTATAAAATGTGTTTGTGTATGGGGATTTGAAGGGGTTTTAGAGATGCAGGTGTTATGCTCCAGATAACATGAAATTAATGAGTCTCAGTGAGACTTATATTTACACAATCACTAGAGTCAAGGTTCTATTTATGGGAAAGTCACATAATGGATCCATTTTGCACAAAAGTAGTCAGTTGGGGATCTATAGGAATCCTGACTTATCACCAAAATAGCATGGTGCCTGATCTTTCCTGCTTTGCTTCATGATTTGCTTCATCTGTTGTCCAAACACAATCCAATTTTCTCTTCCCTTGGAAAACCAAAGGCAGAAAAGTAATATATTATTTAGATTACTTCTCTTCTTTGGAGAGAAACAGACCAGAGAAGCAGTTTTATCTCAACTTAGAACTGTAAAGTTTCCAAAAATGTTAAGGCTATTGGTAAAAAATATTGGGTTTCAGAAAGAAAACTAGAAATGTTTACATCATATCAAATAATATACATTGCCTTTGACAAACATGTTCCTGTTAAATTGGAAAAATGAGGGGATCAATATATGAACATGTCCATGCTAAAAATATTTTCCATATTCCAATTTTCATTTTTTTTATTGGAAAAGGGAATCTGTTAAAAAAAGTAAAGTACCCCTGTGTTTTCTTGTGCCTTCACATCTCTACCCAAACCAAACTATGATTCAGCTGCCTCTCCTGTTTATAACCAATACTCTGGAGTTCCTATAAATCCCCCAATGATCATGTAATACAGGCTTGGTCTTGCTAAAACAAAGTACACTATTTTTAATCATCTTGCCTTATGAGAATACTTGAATAATATCATACTTTAAACACTGCTGTTTAGTGTCAAGAAGTAATTGAGAGATCCCTGGCTGTTGCAAGGCCTCTAGCAGATGATGTGGATTTTCATTCATTTCCTTTCGACACATTTGGGAAGGGATTAATGAAGAAAGCAAAAACTAGTCCTGATGCATTTGTGCAACTCGCCTTACAGCTTGCTCACTATCGGGTAAGTATTATTATTATATTAGCTTGTTTTAACTACCATGTAAAATGTAATCCTGAAATTAAAAAATAAAAGCTTCTCAGAAAGTTATGCTGTAACCCATGTTACTACTATTTCAGGTATGTTGTGTTGTTTGTGCTCCATAATAGACTTGTTTAGTACTGTTGAATCTTTGCTTTTCTAAATCTAATAGTGCATTACACAGCTTTGTTTCATCAAGCCTTGGTTTTCCCTGAGGTCAAGGTATTTTTGTAACCTGATAAACAAATTGTGATCTTCCAGATGAACTGCAGTTTCAGCATTTTAACTACTTCTGGAGGACTTCACTTTTTACACCCATATTCTGTATTGCCTACTCAGTACTGAGTTCCGTTTAGCAAAGGGCCCTTGCAATGTTAATATTTTTCCTTTATAATTTTGGACCTTGTTGCTCCTTGATCAGTATGACTGTTGAATTACTGATGAATTTCTCCTGAGCATCTTTCTGTGTCCCGGTAGTATATATTTTAATTGACTTGATTTTCCCCCTTTTCTTACATTTAAAAAATAGTGCTATTTTATTATTTTAAAAATACTTATACAAGAAATTTGTAAAGTTTTACCACCATCCATTCCCAAGGATACAAACGGACTAAGGAGTAATTTACTTCCCTAGCCATATTGGACAGGAAGAAATAAAATGAGATGAATTTGCAAATAGAAAAACATGGCCGTTCCATGGGCTTCAGTAGTGTCTCTCTAAATTGAGACAGAATGTGTAGTTTTTCCACATAACATTTCTGTTGGCAATAATGACATTTAACATCAAAAGTTTGAAGTCTTTATAAAAGGCAAGGTAATCAGAATGTAACTTAATTTTTAGACTAGACAAAAGTAAATGCACTAAATCAGTGGGAATATGGAAAGATAACTCTTATGTAAACTCCACTTATTTTATGGCTCTATTCTAGTTGGGATTAACAATCAGGTTGAGCCTCTGATAGAATTATTCAATTTGGTTGAATACAGAATAGCAGATCAGATTAAAGATGAAACAATTCATCTTTAATCATTGGAGTTTTTTAAGCAAACTTAACTTTGTACATCTATTGCTATGGTCTCCGCTGGCTGTCACAGCATAGTTAAGTATTTTAGAGATGTTCACATCAACTCTGAGTGCTGCAGTATAACAAAGTTCAACATGATAAGGAAAACTGCTGGAGAGAATCAAGATGCAAAACAGAAAATAAGATGTAGTAACATGCAAATTATTATGGAGGGAAATGTAATGTTATCAATAAAATCCATCATGTAGAATATCATGTTCCATTCTGGTTGCACTGTCTCAAAAAGTATATCACTGGAAAAGATGCAGAGTTAACACTGAGCTATTTCTTTGTGTAATGTAATAGACCAATTTCTTTGGTGGTAGCAGTGGGGCAAAGTGCAAAAAAAATTGGAAATTCATCCTGTGCTCATTTTACTTTGGGTGAATTGGTGTAGAAAGCAGCAAAGGAAATCAGTGACTACTAGATGGCATTTATAGGATTGATTGTGCTTTAAGTTTCTCCTATAAACAGCTTCATGGGATGTTCCATGTAGTTCCATGTAGCTACTGTTCGAGACAGTAAATCTTCAAAATTTTCTGGGTAGGGCTGCTTTTATCATTGCACCCAAACCGCATTTAACTGATGTTTGTAAGGATTTTCTTATCATAGTGTCATAGTATTAATGTTGTCTCTTATGCATATATATGTATATTCCATGCTGCTCTCTGTAATTAAGGGTACTTATGTAACTTTCTCATAATTCTATCAGAACTTTAGGGCATACCGAATGAAATTACACATCCTTTAGATACTCAAAAAGAGAGAGCAAAAGTTTAACAGCATGACATAATATTTAAGATACGTGATTATAATGTTTGTGTCAATTTAATTTGTGTTGTGGGATTGCACATTGAACATACTACTTTCATTATGATATCTTTTTTAATTTTTGTTTAAGGACATGGGTAAATTTTGCTTAACTTATGAAGCATCTATGACACGCCTGTTCAAAGAAGGTAGAACAGAAACAGTTCGTTCATGTACCACACAGTCATGCAAATTTGTGCAAGCTATGGATGACCCATCTGAAACTGTGAGTTTAATCTGGTCAATAATTTTAGGTTTACATTTATTTACATGTAAGTGCTTATGGCTGTAGGTGGTATCTAAGGAAAAAAAGTTTACACCTTTCCTATCCATAAATGCAGTCGAAAGAGAAATACTGATATATCTAAATATCTAAATAGTATCTAAATAGTTCATTGAAAAAAAATTGCTTATGTTTTCTTAATACTGTATTAGTATATAGATCAGTGATATGCAGTAAAATTCTAGGATGTGAACTGAACAGGTTAAAGTCTTGCATAAATGATAATGAGAATAAATATGCTACTTCATTAATTAAACTATCCACATTCTCTGTTTTGTTCAGCTAATCTAAGCCCAAAGTTTAAGAAAAGGTCATTTTGCATTGATACAGAAATTAGCTGTCTCTTTATTTAGCTATTAGCTGGCATGGTAATTTCTTTGTTTTTACACGAAAACAAGCAGAGGCATCTCACTGAATGATTAATTATATTATTAAACAAATATATTTTAATTAGTTTACACCTTGTGCTTTTTGACGTCTGTTTTTTATAACAGTCCCTGATACTCATGAGACCCAGGTTCCCGACAATATAAACTACAGAAGAAGTAGTAAGACATCCCAAGGAGTTTAATGAGAGAACCAGCATAAATTATTGATTAAAATATGGGACTGAGACTTGAGAGATCTAGAGTCTAATCCTGCTGATCCTGGAAACTCATCTTGATCTACCTACTGGCTTGCTATGAGGATTAGTGAGGAGAAAAAAGCAATGATCTCATTGGGCAAAGAATGTGAATGTGTAACCAGCCCTAGTAATACTAACAGTAAATGAACACTTGCCAAGCATCTGCCATGGTTGTTACAGCAACTGAAGGGATGTTAAGAGAGAGTTCTGTGTGCCTACTTTTGGCCCATAATGGAGCTTATTTTATTAATGCCATGCCCTAGAACTGCAAATTACCATATCTTCATGCTAGTTTAAAATATAAATCATGGATTTCTCCCCTTAATCTACAGCTTGAAAAGAAGGTTGCACTATTCAAAGCTGCTGCTACTCATCATCAGCTCCTGTATCGACTTGCCATGACTGGTAATGGCATTGATCGCCACCTTTTCTGCCTTTATGTAGTATCAAAGTACCTTGCAGTTGAATCACCGTTCCTTAAGGAAGTAAGTGACCAAATAGTATTTACTGATCAAGTAATAAGCAAAAACTGTGGAAACCTTCAGGAATTTTTTAAATCTTGCATAAAAACTATTTTGCTGGAGATTTAATTAAAAAGTAATTTGTGCATTGATAATATATAATATACAAGAAATGTAAAAGCATGATATATTTGTATTATTAAAAGTAGACATTCAAAAGTATAGTGGATAAATAGTCTGAGCTTGCTGACTTGTTTAATTTTCTTCAAACAAAAATTACAAAATATAATGGGCCTTTAGTATACACTGAAGTTTGGCTCCAGGATCTCCTGTAAATACCAAAATCTATTAATGCTCAAGTCCCATCATATATAGTGGCATAGCAACATGGCTATTTTCTTTAAATCTAAAGTGCACTCCTTGCCACTGGCAAGCAATATTGAGCATTCATATGTCTTACCATTTACTATTCACTAATTATGGCCTTGGGTCCCATTTTGGGAGGAAGGTGGGGTGTTTATTGATTAAATGAAGGTGGGGTGTTTATTGATTAAATGAGTAGATGAATGGTGATCACCAGCACACATATGAATATAGTGTTAGTGTCATTGTTGGGTGACTTATTTTCCCTAGTCCTAATATATGTGTCCCAAAAATCACCATTCAAAAGTTACAGAGAAGAAGGAATGGGTTGTAGCTTCAAACAACATTTTTATCATTGCTTGCAAATAGTTGATAAATGTGCTACATGTTGTACCTTTTTTTTTCCTTTCTCAGGTTTTGTCAGAGCCCTGGAGGCTTTCAACGAGTCAAACACCACAACAGCACATTGATCTGAACAAGAATCCTGGGATGGAATCCAGTGGTGGAGGATTTGGCCCTGTAAGAATGACTAACTGTGCTAGGGACTGCATTTTATGTCTTTGTAGTAGTTTTTATGCTATCATGGGAGAATACCATCCTCAAGTCTTGAACGGTTTGGAACCTGGGTACCTGAGGGAGTATGTCTCTCTATATTTATGTGATCACTAAAATTTATTGAAAGAACCCTTCTCTGTGTTAGGGAAAATTACCCAAAAATCAGCAGAGCATCCAAAATACAAACAGGATACTAATAGTTGAGCAATCAGCTCACAGCTAGCAGAGCGTGAAGTGCCGTATGATGTGGCTGTAAAGAATTAAAAGCTTAGGCAGGCAAAGATGCAGAGTCTTGACTTTAAATATCACAAAAGATTTATTTACAGAAAACAATAACTACATTTCTTAATAGTTAAGAACTGGGTCTGAGTTACTCTTAACACCCATCTCTTTTAAGATTTCTAAGAGAGGGAGAAAACACCAATCTCTACATCTCTCCTGACACACATGCAGAGAGAGATCTCAAAGCACGAAGCACATAAGCTGTAAAAGTAGAAGTCAGAAGTAAAGGCTTGCAGTAGAAAAGTATGCATTCTAGACAGCCAATCAGAATGAGAGCAGAAATAGATAGGAGAGAAGAAATAGATACAGGAGACAGGGGGAAGGGAAACCCTCAGCCTACTCTTAGCTAACTAATTGTTCCTCATAGAGGACTTTAGAACTCAGAAGAGAGCTTTCTTGGTTATGATACTCCAGTTGTGGAATATCTTTTCTATAAAAGCCTGACTGTCACTTAAGTTGATGTCAGCACCAAGTTAAAATTTACTATTAATCCAAATATTGTGGGATTATTGGGGCATGGCTTGGTTTTCATTTTGTTAGATTGTAGGTTTATTTTTATTTGCAGTTGTTTTATTGATTGTAATTCATCTTGAGGTCTTTATACATGTCATAAGTATTTTTGAGAAATGAAACACAAATAACGTATGAGTCTGTACAAATAAAACACATCTAAATTTATCTTCTACAGGTTGCTGATGATGGTTATGGTGTGTCTTATATAATTGTGGGTGATAATCTCATAAATTTCCATGTATCCAGCAAATACTCTTGTCCTGAAACAGTAAGCATTTTTATTAAATTTAAAGACCATTAAGTTCTATTCTGTGTTCATTAGTTAATATCTATTTTTTTTCTGGTAGAGTACTTTATTATTGGAATATATTTAATACGTTTAACTAAAATGTTTCTGTTTAGAATAGTTGAATTGATAAAATTTTGTAAAATATAAATGACATATACATATTTAGTTTTCAATTATGATAAATGCATGCATGATTTGTTCTTTTGGGGATCAGTTTGGAATTTGTGTGGACATATCCCAGAAGGGAACTTCTGCACCAGAGGATAAACAAATAGAAACCAGACATCAGGCATGGGAATTCCCAAAAATCAGTTCCAGAGTGCTTCACTCATTCTGGACATTCCATCCCTGATCTCAGAACAATCCTTGAACAAAAAAAAAACCTGCAGAGAAAGATTGGAAAGAGAAGTGGCAAAATTGGAACATATGCACAAACTCCACTCAATCAACAGTGGGTTGACTATAGACAATAGTTTCCTGGCACACTATACACATTATAACCCTAGTTAACCAGCCTTATGAGGGCTCTCATTGTCATTTTATGACATCTGGTTTCCAGCTAGCTTCATACTGTATTTCAATAACTCCTTCCACCATTTGTATGGTTATCTACTCACACTGACTTTAAGCAACATCTGTCCTCCCGTCTTTGTCCCCCAATGACCATAGTTACTATTGTTATCACAAAATTTGGATTTCCGTTGCTATTCACACATGCCATCTGTTCATTCATAGTTACAGAATTCCGATCCTAGGCAATTCCCTCAAAACATCTGATGAAGTAGACTTAGCCTATTAAAGCTAATGCCAGAAGTCTCACTCTCAGTCTCTCTCTCAGGTTAAATCTATTATACTGGCCAACATATAGTTTGGGGCCTTAAATGCTAAACCTGTTTCTGGATATATTTGACCTACCAGTTCCAAAAATGGCACCAGTTCCCCGCTTTCGGCTCTAATTTTTGAGGTATATAATATATGCCATATACCACTCTGTTCCCCCAATAAAAATTGGGATATTTTAATTTTAAATTACTATATTTTAAGCATAAAGGAAACATTAAAATTTTCCAAAAGTGTACTGCATAAAAATCTACTTATTTCATGTCAAAACACAGATTTATGATACAAATTTTCAATTATTCAACACACATACCTAAAAAACTACAGCTGATGGAATCTATCTAATGCAATTTTCAGAATTGGGCCATGTTATTGAATCTGCTGGTGAGACGAGTTTGTTGCTTTTAAAAAAGTTCACTAGCCACATTCTCTCTCTTTTTAAAGCTGAGATAAGGAAATCACAGCTCGGGCCCAGCCTACTTGAGGGACCGCATCTCCTCCTACCAGAGATCTTCAGGAGAGGCCCTTCTCTCGGGCCCACCATCATCACAAGCGTGGTTGGTGGGAACGAGAGAGAGGGCCTTTTCGATGGTGGCCCCATGGCACTGGAACTCCCTTCCTAGAGAGGTGCAATCAGCCCCTTCCTTATGACCTTTTTGTGAAGCCAGGCCTTCTCAAATGAATTATAATAGGCAACTGCCAGATAGCTGCTAGTAATATTCACCTCTGAATGTTATATTGGACCTGTCAATGTTGTGATACGGACTAATAAAAAACAGCATTTTTCAGGATCTTAGTGTAATCTGTTTTACGAATAATCTCAGTGGCCTGAGGTTAGGGGATATTTTAATGGTATATGTTGTAATTTATTTAGTTGGCTCATGATCTTAAGATGTTTTGTTGAAATATGTATTTTTATTTGAATCCCACCCATGGGAGATAAGGGGGATAAAAATGAATAAATAATCATAATCATAATGAATAAATTATCTCTATGTGTTTTATATGTTTGCATATAGGTATGCATGTATATAGTGTGTACAATATAAGAGCGTGATGCAGTTGTGAACTTGGATTATTCTTCGTGTCCTCTGCGAAATCCACACCTATGGGTTTTCCTTTGCGCATGCGCAGAAATCCGGAACATTCTAAAGTTTAATGAAATTAAAAATGATTATTTGTGAGGCTCCGCCCCTCTCCCCGCCCCCTCGGTATATATGCCGCCGCATGCGGCTGAGATGTAGTTCCTTTTTCCGCGCTAATCCGGCAGCATCTCGGATCGTTCTCTCTGTATCTACTGGCTATATCGACCTTTGGACTGTTTTTCTGGCTTCCACCTTCTCCATTCCTGACCCGGACTGGCTGACGACTCTCTTAATCAGGCTAGAATGTCTTCTCCCTATTTCAAAAATTGCTCGGCCTGTGGAGCTACCCTCCCTGAGGCCGATAAGCATTCTAAATGCTTACTTTGTTTGGGGGAGGCTCACAATCTCCAGACTTGCGAGATATGTTTGAGTTTTACCACTAGAGCCC